ATGTCCTGGTTGTAGTGTCACGTTGCACACCGAACTCAAAGTTAGTGACCTGAAGGAGAACGGGTGAATCCCTCCCCGGAACTCGAACACCTGTAGGATCGCCAATGCCCTCCGACTTGTTGGGCACAATGTCCCGAAAAGAGCTGCAAGTAGTGGAATCACCCTCCTGGACCGAAGCTACCCAGGTCGCGGAGGACAACTCCGAAGGTGAAGACGCGTTGAGCAGCAAAGTTGCCGTGCGGCTCCCCAGGGGAAACATTCCTCAACCAGCCACCCCCCTCCCCGATGCAAAGGGGTGTCACAGACCCCTAAGCAAAGGTGCAGCACTTGAGCCAAACTTCTCTCTCTCTCTCTCTCTCTCTCTCTCTCTCTCTCTCTCTCTCTCGCTCGCCAGGGCTACCGCAAAGGGGGAACAAACCCCCTCCTCTCTTTGCTTTGCTTTGCTTTGCTTCGGGGATGGGACGTTGGCAGAGCCAACGCCCTGCGCTCCAGGGCGCACCCTATCCAGCATTTTGTTTGGATGGGCTCGGCTGTACTGGTACACGGCGGTTTGGCCGTGATGCGCGGCACGGGTGCCTCCTTGGGGGCAGGTTTGTTGTAAGAAACAGACTGGTATAACAAGTCACGTAGTGCCCTTGCGGAACGGTCCGGAAAACTTAGCTTCAAAGCTTTCGGGGGAAAAACGTGCCTGAATTAACGGCCCTCCACTCTTGTGTTGGGTTGGGCACCCCTCTTGTTTGGTTCTTGGATGCAACAGCAAGTGCCCCCGAAAAGCGAATTCAAGACTCCCAGACTTTTTCAAGCGGGTGCCTCAGGTTGTAGGTGGATCGAATGGTACACGGAAGGAGCTTAGCTCCGAGCTGCTTTTCACTGGACTGAGTGTCTCACGACAAACTGAGTGTCACGTGCTTGCAGAGAAAGAAGAAAAACCGTGTCCTCCTTGTTTGGAGTTGTCCATCCGGATGGCCGTCTTCAAGACTTTCTGTGCGAGTCCCTCGCGTGGTTGTTTCCCTCCTTTTTGCCCAGCTCCTTGCCGTGGTGGTTCTCGTGGTTCAGCTGGTCTTGTAGCTCCTTGTCGTGGTGGTTCTCGTGGTTCAGCTGGTCTTCCCGGTACCCAGTGTGGTAGCTGTGGCATCAGGTGGTGTGCCTCGCCTGTTCCAAGGTAACGGGTCTGCTCGTAGTCGTCCACCGCTCGTCTCGGTGCCACAGCCTGGTTGTAGATGGCCCGCTCCTCCGCTGTCGCGGTACCCCTCGCTGACGAGCTAGCACTTGCCGTAAAGAGTCCACTTGCAGGTGCAGCCCCTACACTTCGAGGATCTACCCCTCTTGGTGGGGTGTATCCTCGTTGGCCTCGGTCTGGTTGCTGCTCGGTGTTTGGGTGCTCCGGCGTCTTTGCACCCTTCTTCCTCATCTTTTCCCGTTCTTTTCCTTTTTGCCCTTCTGGTGCTTAGTCTTCTTGGCCGGGTCCTTGTCACTCTCGAAGTTGAGGATGTCGAGGAGGGCTAGGTCCACAGTAGTTCCTCGCTTCCTGGGTCTTCTTGGTCTTCTTGGGCTGGTACTGGTACTGGTTGTCTTGTGCCACGTTGTTGCGGGGCCGCTGTCTCGTTGCTGCCTGTTGTGCCCCCTTCTCTGTCCTGGGTAGAGCTCGACGAGCTTGTGCTTGAGGATAGTGAAAAGCATGAGGATGCCTTTGCGCTTTCCGAAGGGTCTTTGTGTTTAAAGGTCGTTTGCCTACGTCTTTCCAAAAACCGGCAAAACACCCATGAAGTTTCTGAGTTCTGCCCAACGTGTTTTCTCAATAAAAAGTTCTCCCTTCCAAACGCGTGTAAAGGGCAAAACTCTGGATGTGGACGATGTCGGTGCTGGTGGTCTTTTCCTCTTGGTGTTCCTTGTCGTCTCCCCTGTGGGCGGTGGGGCTGCCTTGCTTTTCGAGGTAGTAGAGCGGGTTCTGGTAGTAGGGCGGGTCCTGGTAGTAGAGCGGGTCCTGGTAGTAGAGCGGGTCCAGGTAGCGGGTCGCGCTTTCACAGCGCCTTTAGGTGGTTTGGGCTTCGACTTGGTCTCCCTTTTGTCGTCCTCTTTTCCCCGGCGGGCTTGTGGATGTGCTGGCTAATCTGGCTTTGAGGTGCCCCTCGAACCAGCTGGTCTTGTTCGCCTCCTGGTGACTCGTCGCGTTCTTTCACAGTGGGGCTCTAGGCCCTTGGTACCTTTGTCCCACGCGTGGTTCCTCGCGGCATCTATGAGAAGCTTTCGTGCCGCCCCTCCTCGTGCTGTGTGGCGTGTAGGACGCAGTCTTCTGCCACTCTGTCATGCTCGTAGTGCTTGCCCCCCTGTCCTCTCGGTCCTCCAGTCATGCACCTCGGGCAGCGGCGGGTCCCTCTTATAAGAGGGGTTGCTGCTTGCGGGTCTTCTAGATGCCCAAGTCACGATCTTCCGGTAGTGGGTGTCCCTCTCCCAGCGGTGTGGAGGAGGAGAAGGTGGTGCTGGCAAAGGTCCGCCGGTCTCCTTATTGTGGTAGCGGGTCACAGTGTCCCTCACTCGCCTCCAGGCGCCGATCCCCTTGTGGTGCGTCCCCCACTGGGTCGCGGGTAAGAGCGAGGGTGGTGTAGACGCAAAGTTCAGCACTCTGGTAGTGGGGCTCGGATGGCGGCCCGGCAGGCAAAGCGGCCTGATCCCCCTCACTCTCACACCCGGGTTTGAGACCTGGTCGCAGGGGCTGGTCTCTCGAACCACTCACGGCCTTGAGCCAAAATGGCTACTACCCCCTCCTTTCTTTCGGCAGGGCTATGAGTAGGGGGATGACCCCCCTGCCCGCGCGCCATCCGGCGCCCCCGACATGTGCGGAAAACTTGCGGAAAAGCTTGGCTGACACCACCAAGGCTACTTTGCCTACTGGTGGGTTAGGCGCACATGAAGGGAATCAGGAATTCGAAAGAAGACTAGCTACACAAGCACAGCAAGCATGAACATCCAATCATAGTGCGAGATGTTCAATGCAATACAATTCCCTGTTCACTGTGCGAAAAGGTTGCTGGGCGGACATGACAAGGGCATCAGATCGAACTCACCCCGAAAAGAACAGCTTCACTACCGACGCAATGCAGAACCCCGCCCTTGGTGTCAAAGATTAGACCTGTACACTACGCAAAGAATGAGTGGTTAGGCAGACCTGACCCGGGCATCAAGAGAACGCACTCCAATAGAAACAACTTTGCAGTCATCACAGTACGTGTTTCTGCCCTCTGTACGTAGGATTCTACAGCACGTGGCTATGTTCATGGTGAGGATGACTAGGGAACCAACAGGTCGTCCGAACAAACAAACTAGCATAAAGTCCTCACCTGTGGGCTGAAAGCCATTTGCCTAGGGAGAGTGTGGTGCCAGGTCATGGGGTAAGTTCCCTGTGCAAACAATGTCAGAAACAATAAACTAAAAGATGAACACAGTATCAAGGCAATAGGGGTTTACTCACTTCCATGGCTACCGGCAGGCGACTTCAGGCGCATTGGATGTACACAGAAGCCTCGTCGCTCCTACTCTCAGAAGCTCAGCATCGTCTTAGCTCATCTCAGAATCACTTGTCGCCTCCAGAGCTGCTTGTAATCGGCGGCGTCGGTGAGATCGGGCTTTCTCTCTGGTTTCTCGTCGGCGGTTGCCGGGGCTCTTCCCCGTGTCTCTATCCACGCGCTTTGAACCGGTACAGTCTCAACTTGGCTTGGCGGAAGGGTGTCTTCCCCTGTCTCCATTTGTGTTTGACTGATATCTTCTCTGTCTTCCAGCAACTGGATGGGATGACCCCATAGTGCCTGCGTCCATTGAGCCAGGTGAGCATGTGCTTCTGCGAGGTTCACTGCCATTTCATGCTCTGCAAAGGGCAGGAGTCTGCGCAAGATCTCCTGCGCTTTTAGCACCGAGTAGGGGCTAGCTTCCGGTTCCCGTACGGGTAGTCCTCGGTCGCCGCGGTCACGTACTGCAGAATCGTCACGCCGTTGTGGAAGCATCTCGGGTTTCCCCGGGGCCATGGCAGGGTTGTCGCCGGCCATCGGGGCAAAGTTTGGAACATGATTGCTCCCCGAGGGCCTCTCCGTCGTGCGACTTCTTTTGGGTGGGGGCTCAACGTTTTGCAGTCGCATAGTCTTTCTGGCCCATTGCAAGAACTCGTCTACGTGGTGTCGGCTCCGTCGGAGTGCTTGAAGTGCAATGTGCAGGGTCTCCCCTGTCTGGAGGATGCTCCCCTCCTCAATGGCAAGATGAGCCCAGTCAAGCGCATCGAGCCCATTTTTAATACATGCTATGGCTTCATGTACTCCTGGAGCTTCTGGTTCCTTGGCACATGACGACAGTGTGACCTTGGACTGCTTGAGTAAGTCTTCGATGTGAGCCAGCTCCTTATTGAGGATTCTTCGGGGCAACTCCCCGTGTTGTTGTAGTAGATGTTGCAACGCATCATCTGCATCCAGAATAGGCGTGGAGATTGCAAGCTCGAAGGCAACCGGGTCGAAATCGGGAGCGGCGATTCATAAGTTGTGCGCTCTTTGACATTGTTCCATATAGCTGCGTGCTACCACATCCAGTTGGTGAACGTAGTAGCATGCCCTATATGCCAGTGTGGTGACCGCCTCACTGGGCTGCGTAAAGGACTTTTGCAGCAGCTGATGGAGGACTTTGGTCACTGTCTGCAGGACCTCCGCATAGTTTGCGGGGGCCGAGGTGGACGCCATGTAGGGTCCTCCATGTTCTGTTCGAGCTCCTCATTCGTTGGCTGGCTCGGGGTTGGGCTCGGCTTCGACGGCGACTTGCCTCCCCCGGTGGTCCTCTGCATGAAGGAGGTCGAATCTGGTGGCTGCTGTTGGTGTTGGCCGTCATCTTCTTGGGGATCTTCACTCGGCCAGCTTGTTTTTGATTCCGACCCCGAGCTGGGTTTAGGGGGTGGCGGTGGCTTCGATTTGGGCAAAGCCTTACAGAGCCCGGGTCGGTCGCGTTCCCCCTGGGTCGGTTGGTAGTTGTCGAGATTGAAGCTGCCGAGGTGGTGGGCCAAGTTGTTGTTCTTGACGTGCTCCGGATTGGCTGGATGTGATTGCAGAGCTAGGGGTTGCCCCCTTTTGTTTCAGCGGCTGAACTGGAGGATCTCTGCG